ACGTGGGCATTATAGTAGCTTTCTGGGCGGAGATGCTGTTGCCACAGTATTACTCCAGACTTAACCCTTCATTCCTCATCGGAGTTGTCGCTAGAAGCTCCATCGAACTATACTCTGAAGAACAGATACTTTATGGAAGAAGGATGTATGCTGCCGATGAAAAGGCTTGTGATTGCAACCGACTATTCCTGACTACAGCAATTGTTGTGGTCTTCTATTCCCCGGAAAGGCAAATAACAACTGAAGTGATACTAGGAAACGTTTCTCATAAATATACACAAATATTGTCCGTGTTTCCTTTATAGGCTGGTAGAACCTAAACACCAATGAATGGGAACAAAGGGGAAGATAAGCTCAGACGGAAGTTACCATCCACAGTCCATTCTTTGTTATATGACTCTGTTGTTGAGCCGGTGTTCCTGACCTAGTCATTACATCTTTTCCTCTCAAAATCCGTTCTCCATTTTACGATGAAAGTCAAGAACAATCAGTGAAGTTGTGTTGAAGGCGATTTCAACGAATAACGCCACCGTCTGAAGAATAATTTTTTCCTCAGAAATAAAAACATTGGAGGACAGTTATCGTGAGGACATTGCTGTAAAGACTGTTGAAATGTGAGGCTTGGGAAGGCTTTCGATCGATCCTTCATAGTCCCTTGATTTCGTCTGGAAAGCATTTAAAACTCGAGCTTCTCCTTGAAGATTCAGCCTTTTGGTCTATTTACGCACTACGCCCTTCATTTCAGAAAGTATTCGAAGTTCTGTGTCAAGCACAGCACGGCATTTTTGGTGTACATCATCACTACTGCCAGGTTAAACACTAACCTATCCCCTAAGGAATTACTTTGGCTTTCATAATGAAAGATTTAACAGAACCTTCATATAACGGATGCATTCCCATGGTAAAAGTGAGAAAAGACGACTTTATGCTTCTAACCACCATTGTCTGTTCTCTGACGAGGTTAGATAAAAGGCACCGAATAGAGTAGCATGAACTGTGCATTTAAGTTTAAACTTCGTAGAAGCCCTTGATGATGGTGGATGCTTAAACACGACCCGTAAGCTGGTGCTTCTAAATGGTAAGAATGTATGCTACTGAATTACCAAAAGTAGTTGTAAGTTTATCAGTTCAAACGGAGAAGTGGAAGTAGGTCGTTACGACAACTTGAAAAGCCTGAGTGTAAAGTTGTAACATTTCTCTTTGCAATTTTTCTTCCGATTACTTTAGGGTTAAACCCCAAATTTTGGGTAGAGAAGTTAATTTTCTACTCAAGCTTCTTCCCTGTCAGTTTCCCTTTAGCTCATCATTTCAACCACGGCAATCTGGTAGGCGTTTATTTGAACATGACACTTCAGAATCCCATTTTTATGTACTAACAGGACGTGTGGTATATTTGAGAGGAGGCGTTATCTATTTTAGTGAATGTACCTAGTTTTCTAAGACTTTGGATCGGCTCTACCGCGTTCAGGGGTGCAGGATGCAATGTAGACGCTAAAGGACCGCTTTAATGGGGCAGTACCCGAATGTTTGACTTTCCCTTTTTCCAGTTATTTTATACAAGGGAGCTCTCTAAGCAAATGATTTTCAGTAAAGTGGGTCTCCTTGACTTAGTGCCCCTCCTGACCCCAGAAGTTGTTTCGCACACCTTCAAAACGATTCATTAACAAGCAAAACGTCTAAAAGCAACTTTTTTGTTAAAAGGAAACAAAGAGTTTAAGTACTCCATCACATCCTCCTTGCAACTGGGTTTCCGCCTTGATAGCTGTAAGATTAAAGTAATATTTACGTACATCGAATCGTAATATGAAAATCGCTTCATCGTGAAATGGAGGCACAGCAATTACCAAACCTTGACCAAGGTCAAGGTCAACAGTGAGCAGGCTGCGGTCACTGTGTCCCCCATTGCATTCAGTTAAACAAGGGCCCACGTGGATCGCGTTTCAATCATCAGAATGGCAAAGTTTTGTCACCTTTTGTTAAAAGTTATTCGAATAAATTAGTCGATGTCAAAGTGATTCTTAAATGGGGGAAGTGGGAAATAAATGAACCGATTTAAAGGAGGCTTTGAAAACGGGAGGGACGGGTAAAAGTGACCGACAGTCTCGAAAATTATGGAATTTTCTGTTCATAATTCACCTTATAAAGTTAAATTAACAACTGCACATCCAAAGACTTTCCAACCGACAGCTTTGCTGTGTCACGAGGTAATAAGTTAGGAGATGCTTTACCTGAAGGGGTTGCCTCCTCCGGATTGGTAATTGCCTATTTTTATGGGAGTTGCCTCCTCTGCCTCCTCTCCTCCTTCTTCTACCTGTTCCTTAAACCCGAACTTCAAAACTTCTTTTACGTCTACTTCTCCTTCATCTCCGTCATCTTCTTCCTCCTCCTCCTCCTCCTCCTCCTCCTCCTCCTCTTCCTCTTCCTCTTCATCGTCATCATCATCGTCATCTTCTTCTTCCTCATCATCATTGTCTTCTTCCTCCTCTGATTGCTCTTCATCTTCGTCGTCTTCTTCTTCTCCATCCTCATCACCATCTTCCTCATCGTCCTCGTCTTCCTCTTCTTCCTCATCGTCCTCATCATCTTCTTCATCCTCATCTTCTCCTTCCTCTTCATCGTCATCGTCGTCGTCGTCTTCGTCGTTGTTGTCTCCCTCCTCTTCCTCATCCTCATCGTCTTCCTCGTCGTCGTCGTCTTCTACTTCCTCGTCCTCATCGTCATCTTCATCTACATTATCGTCCTCCTCTTCGCTTTCGCCTTCATCTTCATCTTGCACTAATTCAACTCCCACGACTTCCTCAATTTCATTATCAACATCACCATCACCATCATCTTCGTCTTCTCCATCCTCATCTTCAGCTTCGATGTCCCCGTCATCAGCATCGCCATCCCCATTCTCCGACGTATTTGTCACCTCTTCTACGTCTTCATCGCCATCCTTATAATCCTTTTCATTCAATTCGTCGTGTCTTCCCTCCTCCATGTACTTCCAAAGGCATTTCAATCTATTCATAATTATGCGTCGTGCTATAAGCTCAAATCCACTCATTTTACCATCTTCACGGACCTGCGCTGCTTCACTACCAAGCGCTTGATTCGACATTCTTACCGAAAGTAGTTTACTTCATTTTGAACGCTTTTTATACCTTTAAATTTCATGTTTTTTTTCACACCTCCTTCACATGCCTTTCAAATGACAAATGCTTTAAGGACACAAAAATGTTCGTGTGTTTTATTCTTCAATTATGTTACTTCTTTCATGCTTTACCATATTAACATGTCTTTTTGTGTTGGCTTTTGTTTTAAACATTGTCGTTAAAATCTGCCTCATTTGTAACCTTCCATATTGACACTTCAAGCGCTTATATGCAAAATCTTCAACTGTCAATCCTCCACTAAGCAGTAAATTTATTATTTCAATACACACATTTTATAATTTTTAAGTCACGTCTCCTTTTACTGTCTGGGAACCTAAGTGAAGCGTTTCAAGTATTTCGCATAGTTACCAATACAAAAGGTGCTGTGTCGTGCTCCTCATCCCTCTCCAACAGTGAGGTTAAACAGTCATTTGGGCTTGAACTGCCCGGTCTGTCCACGTGGGCCTATTTCACAACTTGTAAAGTGTTGTTTATGAGAACGTTTGCATGATTGGCGGTCACTTGGGTGCTCATCGTGCTTTTGTGTGCGTGGGGTGGACTTCAGACCAAGTCAAAGTCCATCTGCCTCCTCTTCTTCCTGAAGGAAGGCATTTGGATCTACTCAATGCCTGCTACTATTGCACCTGTAACATCTTGAGGCTTCCTGTCCGGTAGATGAAGGCATTAGACATGGCTGAAAGGTAGAAAGGTCATTACGTAGCCCAAAGTTCATCGCACTCGACAAAGTCAAGATGATAGCTAGTCGAATGAACAAACGACATTGATGGTGCTTGCCTCAATGCACCTTCCACGCCAGTCATCACAACGTATTCAGTGCCACACGAATTCACTTTCCAGTCAGTCGCACCAGTCGTCAGCTGCCATGAGAATGAGGCACTTACACTTGCGTCGATTCTGAGAGCCGAAGTCTGACGAGCATTCTTCTGCTGACCGATCAGACCACCAAACACAGTGGTGTATGGAAGAGGACGTAGCTTAATAGCATCGTCGACACCAGCACACGAGTTCGTAGGGTTAACTTCGAAAGAAGCCATGGTTTTGAGGTGTTGCCAGCCTGTCAGTGGAGCACGAGGAGAGGGTAGAGCCAAAGGCAGACATCATTCCCAACTGCTGTGTTGCAGGGAATTTGAGGCGTCTCGCACCGATAGGGCGGAAGCATGGCACATGCAGTGGACATGAAGGTAGCAGAGGTGATAGAAGCAGGTCTCGCTTTCCACTGCCATCAGTGAAGCGTAGTAAGGCTTTCCACCAAGTGGAAGTGGAGCAGCAAGTGCGACTGACTTCAGTCTTCTGTGTTCACTAATAAGAGTTTGCACGCACCAAAATTATAAAAGGATTTTTTTTAGTAAAAGTAGGCTCATGCGATCTTTAACTGCCTATTGCACTACAGGCTGCGTTTATGTCAACTATTTACTGCGTATTTTTTAAGAGTTGAAATTTCATTTCCCATTTTAAAGACGTCGAAAACGTCTTACTACTCACTAAGATTGCCTCCTCCCAGCTTCACCTCCCTTTTCTTACTTTCTAACAAAAATTTTTTGATTAAGTTTACGGCCCAATGCATTTTTATCAAATCACTTTGCCATGACTAACGGCTAGCCAAAACTCGTGATTTAAGTAGGCATGAGCAGGTGATGGGGTGTGCGAGTGCGGCACTAACATGAGACATGTTCGCTACAACAAAGCAGACTTGAATCTGTCCATCTAAAAGCTTAAAATAAGGACATTTTGCAAACAAATTCTTGCCATACGTCGACATCAATTTGGTCAGGCGTGTCATAAACGAGTTTTTAGTCGCTGTTTTAACGTATCTTATTTGAGTAGTTTGGCGACATCACCCATTACAGTCACTCTCAACCAGCTGAGCACCTCTACAAAGGTACAGAGAGAGAGAGGAGTGGGTATGTGTAACTTGGGTGTCTGCACTCCTCATGTAGTGCTTTGTTTATGTGAGGACCTGTATGACTGACGGAAACTTTGACATTTGCCTTGCTCTCGTACGACTCAGCCTACCGGTGCTAGACGCCTCAAATTCTCTGCAACACAGGAGTTGGGAATGATGTCTGCCTTCGACTCTACCCTCTCCTCGTGCTCCACTGACAGGCTGGCAACACCTCAAAACCATGGCTTCTTTCGAAGTTAACCCTACAAACTCGTGTGATGGTGTCGACGATGCTATTAAGCTACGTCCTCTTTCATACACCACTGTGTTTGGTTGTCTGATCGGTCAGCAGAAGAATGCTCGTCAGACTTCTGCTCTCAGAACCAACGCAAGTGCAGATGCAGTTGAGGGTGGTGAGAAGGTCGAGTACAATACCTCATTCTCATGGCAGCTGACGACTGGTGCGACTGACTGAAAAGTGAATTCGTGTGGCACTGAATACGTTGTGATGACTGGCGTGGAAGGTGCATTGAGGTAAGCGACGAAGACACCGTTGGCAATGAGAGTGGGGAAATGTAAGAATCGAGTCATTTGACCAATACTTTAACTAGTGGGCAGTTAGGGGAATTTCTTACTCTTGTCTGCGTCTACATCTTGAAATCTCCTTCCACCGGCGGAAATAATATCGCGGAACTACTTTGTTTGCTCCTTGATTGCTTTGAGACGAACAGTGCACCAAAATAAGCGTGTTTACTTCAGCTCTGTGGTCTACGCTGACTCAAAAGCATAGACAAACTGGGGGTCAATTCTGAGGCCTGTGTGTCTAAAGATGTTCCAGCTGGAAAGTAGGTTATATGTTTGCTTATGTGATTGATATCAAATCGAATTTGTCATAGTGCTATGCTTGGATACAAAAGTAACAACCGAGAGGGATGTGATACATGACCATCAGAATAGGCCAAATTGCTTATGCGGCCAGTCATCTTTCCTCACATGAGAAGACATCCGTTCATTTTCACCTGATGTTGATAAGGACGGCTATCAAGTGTTGTGGCCGTGGCAATAACATCAAAATTCTAACAACAAATGGTGTAATCAGATAATGCACAAGTTTAAATGGAGGGACCATCATCTGAAGTTTCTGCAGCGTCCCGAGACTTCTCACCGAGTGGAAGAAGGCAACACGTGAAGCTGGATGCATGTACTCCAAAGGGGACAGAACAAATGAGTTGGGCATGCCCCGAAGGCCACTCCACGAGTACAAAGGCCAGACAAATCCTAAAGTGACGATCGAAAGTCAGGTAGTCACATAAACGGAGCATTACATTGGCAATAGTCTAATTATTTAATTTCATTATGCATTGGTCATTCAATGCTAGGTTTTGGTAAAAGAAAGTACGTTCTAATACCTGTA